CCGGTGGCGCCAGTGTCCGGCAGCCTCGCCTCTGTCAGTGCGCCCCAGGGTGGCTGTGGCTACCATGTAGCTGCCATCACCAGTGTGTGAATGGGTGGGTGACTGATTGTGTAAAGCGCTTTGGGGTCCTTAGGGACTAGTAAAGCGCTATACAAATACAGGCCATTTATTATTCTATACAAACAGAAATATAGAAATTTATGCTTTCTAAAGAAAACTCTTATCTTTAAAAATGCTATCCTTTGCAATCTTAGAAACAGTATTAGGGGAATTTTTGACAAAAATTTGATGTGAGGTCTAATAATTCATCCGTACGATGCTTTAAACACACGACAGTTCTCATCGACTCGAATTCAAACGTCAGGAAACTCTTAGTAATGTACGTGCTGTCATTTCTTCAAGGTGGAGCTTTAAAGCCTGGATTTGGTTTCCCATCATTCAGCGGCATCGCCCGCCTTACCTGGTTGGTTGAGTTGTTTGGTGAGCTCTCAGTATCTGCAGCAACACTGGAGGAGGACCCTGCTAACAGCTACAGCAAGATGACTGCAAAGCTGCGAACATCTGACAGCAGGTACGGAGGAGAGATCCATCTGAATGAAGAACAAGAGGAGGACTATACCCACCTTATCCCACATGTCAGCACACAAGACTGGGGGCTAGGGCCAACGTCAGAGCAGGGCTGTACCAAACAGACTAACTAAACCCCAAACAACAGGAATGTACATGCGGATAATATTTCAAAATCATAGCCAAAAGTCTGTTTGAAACATCACTCTTTGCTGTTGTCAGTTGTGCTGCGATGTGATTGGTTAAATGTATAGTTTGCAGTACATGCGTCATGACTTCATTTCACCTAACTGGAATAAATAAAAGTATTTTTAAAGTCAGAAAGCCATTTGAGTAGCCACTGAGTGAGAATATGTCCCAGTCGTTTGGTTGTCATGACGAAAGGACAGATGAGAGGCGTAAATGACGTGTAATCGTTTCATCTTATGTCCATCCAGATCTCTGACATGGATTGAGGAACGGCAACCAGGCCTCCCCCGAGCAAAAAACATCAACTTTCAGTTTGATTCAGGGGCTCTGACTCAGATTCCTCCGGCACCAAGAGGGAGCGTGGGCCTTTTTATGCAAGACCTGATCCATTTCTCTGCTAAGCTGGCCGGCCAAGTGAGTCCTGAAGAGCTCCAGAGAGAGAGAGTCAGGGTCCTGCACTGCCTGGAACTGGCAGGCAAAATACAAGAGCTTTGCCAAGGTTAAAGGGAAGCTCCTTGATCTCATTGGATGATAGTTACATTTATACCCCTGTTTCAAAAACATTTGTTATGCTGTGTGGATAAAATAAAATGCAGTGATTTGAAAGTCTCATATGTTTATAGGCTACGTCCACACGTACACGGGTATTTTTGAAAACGGAGATTTTCCGTTTTCGTTTTAAAAAATAATCCCGTCCACACGTAAA